ACCAGGAACTGAAGGCAAAAGGAGTACATAAAGAGTGGTTGTTTCTTAAGGGCATGATCCTTGAAGCACAAAGAAAGTTCATTCTCACATGGAGGAAAGGTAGCAAAAGGGCTGGGCAGCCCTCTTGGCTAAACAGGGAAATCATGGTCCTCTTCAGAAAGAAGAAAGAGGCATATAAAAAATGGAAGCTTGGGGCATGCCCCAAGGAGGACTATATAACAATGGTCTGCACTTGTAGGGAACAGATTAGAAGGGCTAAGGAGGCAACTGAACTAAAATTAGCAACGGGGATCAAGGACAATAAGAAGTCCTTCTTCAGGTATGTAGGGAACAGAACGAAAACAAATGGGAGTGTGGGGGCCACTGCTCAACAACCCAAGACACCTGGTTACCGGCGCTCAGGAAAAAACTGAACTCCTGAATGACTACTTTGGTTTGGTCTTTCACAGGGCCAAGGGGAAAAGCATGCCAGATAGGGTACAGAAAGAGCAGGGTATGAATGATTGCCTTCCTACTATTGCCATAGAACTGGTGTGTGTGATCAATTAACAAAATTAGACATAATGGCAGCCAGCAGGCCCTGGTGAACTTCATCTGGGGGTGCTGAAGGAGCTAGCTGAAGTCATCACAGAACCCCTGGAAAAAAACTTTTCCATAACTCCATAGAGGTTCCTGAGGACTGGAAGAGGGTCAATGTTTGGCCCATCTTCAAGAAGGGGAGGAGGGAGGACCCTGGTAACTATAGGCTAATTAACCTAACTTCTATCCCAGGGAAAATCCTGGAAAAAATCATCAAGGAGTCTATATGTGATAGGCTTGCAAAAGGTAGGATTCTGAATGACAACCAGCATGGTTTCATCATGGGCAGGTCTTGTCTTAGCAACCTCATCTCCTTTTATGATCAGGTAATTAGCCGGGTGGATGAGAGAGAGGAGGTCGACATGGAAGTGGCCCAAAATGTCATTTAAATGTCTGAAGTTACCTGTGTAATGGCTGTTTACATGCCTAAAGGTGATGTGGGATGTGAGCCTTCGTGTCTGTGTGCAAATATGATCCACTATACCTAATTCTGCTTTTGAAGGTAGGTGTCTATCTGACCATTTCTGGCAGTGCCTACCATTTTCCTAATCAACTAGTGATTGGAAAGAAAGACCTGGGTTTGAGCTCCCCTCAGCCTCAGGGGTCTTAAACCCATATGCCCCATTTCCCAGTAGAGTGCCCTGACACCCAGGACTTGAAATAAACAGAATGGAGGGACCCTCCATTTCTCCTATTGAAGTTGGGTCACTGTCAGCCAAGACTGAGAGAGTCACAGGGCCAAAAGGAATGCAAACAAGAAGGAGCCTGCCTCTAGCCTGCTAGGTACATCACCACCTGAGAGGGGGATACCTGGTTTCTGACCCCTGCTGTAGGGTAAACATCCTATGGACCATAGGCCAGATCCAGCCCACAGATCCATTTGATGCAGGCTGTGCATTTGAAGCTTTAGCAACATTCAGTGGCAGGGGGTTCACTAGCAATCATTTTCCCCTGCTGCTGCAGGAGAAAAACACTGGCTGTTGATGCTTTTCCCATGCTACCACCAGGAGAAGTAGAAGCAGCAGCTGGATCCAAGCACCCATCTTCCTCTGTCCCCAACTGAGTCAACTACATTGCATCCTTATAATATAGCTGATCACTGACATAAAGAGTCCTGGAAGCAGGGATGTGTTTAAGAGGGACTAAAAAGGAATCTAAAGCTCAGGCCACTCTCAACTTTGACAGGCACACTTAAAAGATGAAGGAAAATTGGCTGCCTGTACCATAGACTGCACACCCAAGTGTCCATGGATGTGTACTAGGATGCTCATTGTAGTGTGTCTGTCTTGATTTTTTTTTTCAGGTTGGAATCTGCACTCACTAAGTGACAAGAATGAGAGAAATGACCCATCCCTGCCTCTTGGAGAGACAGGCTATGATGATGTTGATGCTGGCTCTGGCACTTTCAGTGGCTGAGTGGAGATCAAATGTCCTCTGAGAACTTCAGTATCCCATGATTAGATTAATTCTCAGCAAAATAGACCATAGTGGTCTAAGCAATAATATTTTTTGGGAGACACTTCAACCACCTATTTCATTTCAGGTTTTTGTAACCTTTTAACTTTTGTAATTTTTCCTTTTTTTGTACCCTAGTGTGACTAAGAAAGGGATTCTATTTTTCCCTTGTAACTGTCCATCAGTCAGACTGTGTGGAAAATCTCTGCTTCCTTATTCCTAAAAAAATCTTTAGAGAAAATATCTGTTTTTTTTCTTATTAAAAAAAAAATGAAAGTTTGCTCCCGTGTTGCTGATTCTCTCTTGAGGTTAACTGGGAAGATCCCTAGGGATGATCAGGGAGAGCAATGCAAACTAAGCCACAGGAATTATATGGATAGTGGATCTCCTCTAGGGTACCACAAACTTGGAGAAAGGATGTGTTATTTGGCACCTGCAGTGTAATGATGAGAAAACCCCTAAGAGAATAACCTAACTATAGAGACAGTCCTGATCCAAACTCAGACTCCAACATTTCATTTGATCCCATGGTGGTAAAGGGGTTGTCATTTCCAGGCACCTTAATATACATACTTTAGTTTAGTAAAAAGTATAAAAAAGTTCTTTTCTATGTTTTTCTTTTCCTCTCTTCCAGGTTCTTATGACCATCTCTGTGACTCCTGGGTGCCTTCCTGTACTGTTTAATTGATATAAGTTTTTCAGTATCTGGTTAATTCCCCATCTCTCTCCCTGTAGAGGGAAAAGTGTATGTGGAAGTTTTTGAGGAATAAGGTTTAGTTGCATAACACAGCTCACCCTATAAATGTAATTGATGCTGTCTGCAGGTGGTAGTATGACCCACTGCAGGACAAGAGAAATGGCAATCTGTGATACTCAAGTGTTCATTGCTGAGTGTTGGCCAAGAGGACATAATACTGACCTGGAGATTTTTAGAGAGATCTGAGTGGATTCTGCCTTGTGTTCACTCAAAGCCTGAGCAATGAGCCATTTGTCTTTTACCCTTGACCAGCAAGGGCCTGGCTTCTTGTTGATCCTTGGATAGCCAAGCAGCCATAAATACATGTTGGTGATGATTTCTATGCTGAACCATTTGATGATATGTGAGGAAACTTACCCTAGATATGGCAACAGCCATGCTGGCAGAAAAAAAGGGTGCTGCATCCTCACACATGATTCGAAACAAACCCCTGGAGGCAGAATTACAAACCAGCCCCCGATGTGCTGAATAGCTCATACAGGAGCCATAGGCTAAGGATCTTTCTTGTCCCTCCTGGGAATGGCTCCAGTCTTGCTAAGATACCTCTCTTGATGGAGAATTCTGTAGATGCTGGGAAAGAGGTGTTGCCTTGGAAACTGCAGGACAAGAGTGCCCAAGGTACATCCACTTAAAAGAGAGAAGGGCAGGGGCAGGTGGCGGGGTCCTCCCTCCCAAAAGAGGGGAGATCACTGTGGCATCCCTTAACTTCACTCACCTACCCCACATCCCTCTAGGCCTCACTGCTTCAGGAAGATTATAGGACTCAGATTATTCCCAAATGCAGTGTATAATTTTGTTTTTACTATGACTGAACTAAATTTAAAATAATGCTTGGAAAAAGAATGCAGTTTTGGGGTAATCTCAAACAAAATCTTAATGATCTTAGAGGTGTGTCTCTGATCCCACTGGGTAGTGAGCAGACCACTCATGAAGGAAGAATGTGTGAAAGCCAAAAAACAGAGCATAGTGGAACTGAAACTATCTTTCCTTTGTGACATGATTGATTCCCACAGTGTGGCACTGCAGTTAACAATAGCTGATAAAGCTAATTTGATTATTTATGATCTAGCGCAGTAGTTTTTAACCAGTTTTCATTTGCTGACTCCTAAAAACATTTGAATGGAGATGCGGGCTCCTTTGTATTGTAAGTGTGGGTATTCACATACTTTTGATTGATCACAGTCATCTCTCACAGACCACTTAGATGTACTCTGTGGGCCCCCAGGGGTCTTCAGACCACAGGCTGAAAAGCACTGAGCTATTGTGAGTGTTGGTAGTGAAGTAGAAGGGGAAGGAAGAAGCCTTGATGATGATGATTTAAGGATTATTTTCTCCTTCACGGGAAATGACTAATAGCAAAACATGAATTCTACAAAACCAAGCAGGAACATCTTCTGTTTGACTGCAAAAGTGCAGGCTGAGTATGGCTAAGAACAACAACCTAAATGACAGGAGACCCCATACCGGGGCAATGCTGTGTTGAAGCATGTCTGGATTCCCTTGTGCTCATCAACTCAGTGTCAGAAGAACAGGACTTAGTAGATGCAGGGAAGTTCTTGTACTACCTCTCAAGTACTTGTATTACTTGAGATTCTCTATGACTCTCAATCCAGGAAAATCCTGGTTTGAGAAAGATGGGAAGAACAGGCAGGCAACAGGCTAAATGTTATGCAGTCTATCATCAAGCTGAGGGAAGGACTGAAGGAAGTTAGGATAGTTTAGTCACCAGAATTTTCATCCAGCCCAGGGAAAACAAGTCACAGGCCTGCATGAGGAAACTACAGCCAAATAAGATTTTGATTGATGCAGAATCTATTACCCTTGACAAATGGCTAGACTGTACAACATCACCCAGTGATGTGTCCACAGGACTATAAGAACTACAAAGGTGGTTGTAGAGGAGAGAACATATACATTTGTTGAATCCCTTGAAAGCCCAGGATGGCCTCTTTTTCCCTCGACTATCCCCATACATCTTTTAGGTACATCAATCACAGCACCTCTGACTGACGTCTCAATATAGACAGGGAAGTCACTACATCTGGAACAGACAGTACAAATTATGAAGCTGGGGTAATGTCCCCCACATTATACCACAAAGAGCCAGAACTGGAGCAG